CTGTGATGGAAATACAATGACCAGGGCCAACCCTTGCCGAGCATTTACCGCGTGCCAGGCACTGTGCTTTTACGTCTATCAGGTCATTTCATCGTCACACATCCTACCAGGTTGGTGCCACGATCACTCCAAAACCAAAGCACAGAGAGGCTGACTAACTTGCCCACGGTCACACAACTTCTAATTGGCAGAGCTGCTATTTTAAAGTCAGGGTGTCTGCTGCATTTCAGTCCATTTCCTTTTGCTTCCCTATGGATGATCTGGGCCTTCATTCATTCCTTCATTCATTCATCGAGTGATTTTGAGCATCTACTTGGTCTCAGGCAGCTGGCCACAAGCTGGTGTGGCTTCTGACCTCCTAGGCCCCACAATCTATGGAGACCAAGATCAAGAAAAATGAATGTAGAAATAAAGATGTCATTCAAAAGTAACTGGCAGAGGTGTGTCACATGGGCAAAACCTTGAGGGAGCAGTCCCTTTCCTGGTCAGAACTGGTGGCTGCCTTGTCCTTATTGTCAAACAGCCTACAGGTGATTAGGGACAGGGCACCGCCTTGCTGGGTGGGGGAAATCCAGGGGACTGTCACCGGAGCACCTAAAGGTGGCACATAGATTGGATTTGGGCCATGTGGGAGGCTTCCTGGAGGAGGTGTTGTCTCCACTAAGATTTGAAAGAGGGTAAGAGTCAGAGAAAGAGTGTTCCAGGGGAAGAGCATGCCAAGCTCCAGGGGCTGGAGGTGCAGGGCAATGGGCGCTTGGAGAATTGAAGTGGTTTAGCCTGGCTGGGAACATGAGAGGCAAGGAGGTCAGAGAGGAGGCTGGGGAGGACAGGGGCGAGTGTGGGGGTAGGAGGCAGAGAGGGATGCCCCAAGAAGCTTGTTGCTTTGGAAACCAAGAAGCGGAATGGCATGGTCTTTTACTTCCATCAGGAGCTCCAGAGGCCCCAAGGTCTCCCTTTTGGGGTGGGCGTCAAGCCTTTGGGGACTCTGAGCTTGTGCAATCCGGGGCTCTTCCCCCCATCCCCTCTCTCTTTTTAAAAGAATAAATTGTCACTTTCCTACTCAATCTGGCTGCCGGCTCCCCTGGCCCCCGTCCAGCCGCCCACAAATGCACCACTCTGCTGCCTCCTGCCCAGATCGGCCCTGGGGCCCAGCCAGGAAAGGAGGCGGGGAGGTTCTGGGGGCCACATTTGCCTGCCCCATCCACTTAGAGGCCCCCAGACTCCAGGAAGGCGGTGCCGGAGGGCCCAGAGTCCTGTGCTGTCCTGCTGCTGGCTGGCTGCCCTGCAGACCCCTCCCCTCTCTGGGCTGCTCTGGAGGACCAGGCCCAGGGGATCAAGGACTGCACAGTCCCCCACGTCACTCTAACTATTGTCAGGGTGCTCGCTCCTTGACACCAACCCTAGGAGGGGACCCTGTCATTCCCATTTTACAGTGGAGGATGCTGAGGCTCAGAGAGGTTGTCACTTGCTCCCTGGGCTGGCAAGTGGTGAGACGCCCAGGGTTGAGACTCGGTCTGATAGATTCAGACACTTCTAGAAAGTTCTTTTTTCTTGGCCTCGGTGTTCTCATTTAGAAAATCAATACAGCGCACCGTCCACATTTGTAGGTTCTGCATGCATGGATTTAATCAATTGTGGATAAAAAGTATCTGGGGAAGAAACCTTGTGTTGGTTCTGCATGCACAGACATGTTTCTTGCTATTCTTTTTTTTTTTTTTTTAATATTTATTTTTTAGTTCTCGGTGGACACAACATCTTTGTTGGTATGTGGTGCTGAGTATCGAACCTGGGCAGCACGCATGCCAGGCGAGCGCGCTACCGCTTGAGCCACATCCTCAGCCCCTGTTTCTTGCTATTCTATAAACGATACAATATCACCTTTTACGGAGCATTTACGCAGGACTGGGCATTTTAAATAATCTAGAGATACTTGAAAATGAAGAGAAGACTGTGCTTAGGTTATATGCAAATTAGTATGCCATTTTATGTAAGGGAACCGGGCATGCAAGGATTTGGGGACCCATGGGGGTCCTGGAATCCATTTTCTACAGTGGCTGAGAGATGACCATGAATCAAACACCAAATTTAACAATTATTCAATTAAGCAAATAAATCCACATTTCCTGGGTGCCCATATGACTTGAAATGTGTGCCTCTGAGTTGCTCACAGGGAGGAACATACAGGGGCAAAAAAATCATCATATACTAAATATTCTACAAATATGTAGAGTACCTGGGACCATAGAGGAGGAGCGGAATGGGCCAGAGTGTCCAAGGTACACTCCAGGATCCCGTCTACTCTAGGAGAGAGGTACACCCAGCTTCTGGGACTCTGAGCTCCACTTTAAGAGCTGAGACTCTGGAGTTAGAAGAGTCTCATTGAAAACTTGGCTTCCTGCCCCTCAATTTCTTCATCTGTGAAATGGGCATGGCGGGAATGCCTACGTCCCAGGGGAGAGAGTGTCTGTTCTAGTCAGCTTCTTCACTGCGATGACTTTAAGGCCTGGCCAGAACAACTCTGGAGAAGGAATACTTTCTTTGGGGGCTCACATTGTCAGAGATCTCAATCCATAGACAGCGGACTCCATTCCTCAGGGCTCAAGGTGAGGTTGGACATCATGGCGGAACAGTGTGGCAGAGGGGAGCAGCTCACATGGGGATCAGGGAGCAGAGAGAGACTCCACTCACCAGGTACAAATAGAGACCCCCCAAGGCCATGCCCCCAGTGCCCACCTCCTCCAGCCACACCCACCTGCCTCCAGTCACCACTCAGTTAGCCCCACCAGGGACTAATCCACTGTCAGGTTAAGGCTAGGACCGGTCATTTCTCCTCTCCACCTTCTTGTATGGTCCCAGATGTGGGCTTTTGGGGACAGCTCACATCCACACCCTAACAGTGTCTGGCTCCTAGTGGGTGTTCTGGTAAACACTAGGTATCGTTACAGCAGAAGCAGCTCGGGGCCCAGAACCTCCCCAGAGCCCAGGTGCCATGCCAGGTTCCTGGGAGAGGAAGAGGCTACCCTACATGACTAATTCCCATCTGCGCCCCAGAAACCCTGCAAGAGCAGGTCCCCAGTGAATTCCCAAACGCTTGGCTCTCATTTCCTGTGTCATGGAGAGTTCTTGGGCCCAGCGACCAGGGAAAGGACTTTTTTTTCTGGTTTGAAGAATCATAATGGCAGATATTTGTGTGGCTCTCCCTGGATGTCAGGCCCTCCTAAAAGCACTTCCCATTCATTAACCCACTTCAACAGTGTCATCCCAAGCAAGTTGGGAGGAAAGGCTTGGGGGAAGCATGTGGTCTGGCCCAAGAGGTGCCTGAGGCTCTTCCCCAAAGAAAACCTGGGATCCGGGCTGCGTTGGGGCACCAGTGAGCATGTTCAGGGTGGGAAGCGAAGCCGGGGACGAGTGACGGACACCTGTTCTGCACTGAATGATGGGCGGTGTACCAAGGAGGAAGAAGCCCAGGCCCTCTGGGATAGACCAGGGCCCTCCAGGATATCCTGTCCAGCGTCTGCCTCCTTGTCCATCACACGGGTGAGCCATCGAGACCCACGGTCAGGGTTGGAAAAAACACTGCTGTGGACAGAATATTTGTGCCCAACCCCATTCATGTGGACTCCCTGCCTCCGCGTGATGATGTGGTGGCACTGGGAGGTGGGGTCTTTGGGATGTGGTTCGGGTAGCTGAAGTCACAAGAGTGGGGCACTCCGTGGTGGCATTATAAGAGCCAAATCCACCAGGACCTTGATCTTGGACCTCCCGTCTCCAGACCAGGAGGAATAGTGTCTGTTGTCTCAGATCCCAGTCTGGGATGTCTTCCTGGCCCAGCTGGAGCCCGCTAATACACCCAGCGGGTTTGGGCAGAACGGACGCCCCCCAGGTTTGCCTGCAGAACCACGAGGACCCTCGTTCTTACCAGGAGGGTCACCAGATTTGAAACAAAAGCCAAACAGAAAAAAAGGGGGACTGACTTAGATGTGGGTTTCAGATCAACAACCAAGGATTTTTCTTACAAGGGTGTCCCGTGCAATATTTAGGATATACTTATAACTAATAAAAAAAGAAATTTATTTATTTCCTGGTGCTTTATCTGACAACCCTAGCACCCATATTCAAACAGCCCAGTAATTGGCCTGATGAGGACCTCCGCGTAGGGACTGCATTACGAGACGCACGTTAATAAAGGTTCAAAGGTATCTCCGCCACAGGGTGTGGGTTAAATAAATAAATGAATACAACAAATTCGTTTGTAAAAAGTGCTCAGAACTGTCTCTGGCACAGAGAAAGGGCTGTGTGAATCTTCATCGCTGTTACTGATATTAGCCTATCTTTTAAATAATGTTGGGAGAGAAGCTGGAGGGGTGTCAGACAAAGAAAGGCCCAGCGGGGGGGGGGACTGCAGAAGACGGGACCCTTTTTCTGCAGACGGGGGTCCCCAGAGTCGGTTCTCGGGCCTCGCTTTTGCAAAGCAGGAGAAATGCCGCTCACGGAGGCCCTTCGTGGGACACTGGGAGGCCACATACCTGAGGCTGGTGGGTCCTGATACCCGGGGACATCCCACAAAACCTACAGTGCTGGGTGCTAAGGGGCCAGGCTGCCAGAGGGTCACCCGAGGGACAACCATGTCCCACCTGCCTGTCCGACCTCGGGGGTGGCAAAGCAGCAGGTCTGAGAACTCCCCGGGAATGGCCGTCACAATCAGGATGGGGGTGGGGGACCCCGACAAAAATGCCCTGAGACGGTCCCCTTGCCCTCCCCATTTTCTAGAACAAACCGAGGCCTGGAGAGATTGAGAAACCCGCCCGGGTTGGGGGGGGCAGGGTCTGTAAACTGCAAAAGTGGATTTAAACCAAGGAACGCAGGGGTCTGGGCCGGCAGAATGGCCCACCCCCCACCCCACCCAGCCATTCCTCTGGCCACACAGGCCTGCAGCCAGGCCTTGAAGTCCCTCTGAGTGTCCCCCTCGGCCCCTGCTCCCTCCCTTGCCCTGGGCTCACCTGGGCTGATGTTGACGTCTGTCTGTGGAAAGGCCCGGGCACAGACGAGGCTCAGGGAGGCTGCGGCCCACAGCCCCCACCTCTGCATCCTGAGCCCCAGCGAGCAGCTTCCACTGGAGTGGAGCAGCAGAGCTCCTCAGCCAGGACAGCTGTCCCAGGCGGGCAGGGTGGACCCCAGTCCCCTCCTCCCCCCTCCTCCCTCCTTTCTGCACCGCTGGAGGGAACTCGGAGTGACAGCAGAGAGCCTGCAGCCCGTGCACCGGGCACTGTGTGGCCTGGGGCCCGTGTCCTCCGTCTCCTCCTGGGTGAGGGCGGTCAGGAGCCTCCCGTCCAGCCTCTCCCAGGACATGGGGCATCTCTGCCCTGGGAGAGAAGAAGCGTCGGAAGGTAGAAATAGAGGGGAATGTCGAGTGCGGAGGTCTCCTGAGTCAGGGGTGGGGCCTGTTTGGTCCATACACTGTTTTAAAATAAAATTAAAAAAAAAAAGTCAGAACATAAAAGTAGGAGATTTTCCGTAGAACGGCATATTTCTGCCTCCGGTTAAAAATCTGGATATTGGAAAAGACTCGGTCATCATCTCCCAGGGAGAACCATCAATGGCCCAGGGATGCGCTTGGGGACACTGAGGTCCCACCCACGGGTCTACCCCGAAGGCACCCGGATCTATCTGTCCAGGGGCCTCCAGGTTCAAGGAGGCACCTGTAGAAGGTTCAATAGGGTTCCACGGGGTGCGCGCTCAACAGAGAGCCAACGCCGGCCTCGGTACCCAGCTCCGCTGTGTGATGTATTCATACGCAAATGTTTGAAATCCACTGGGATCTCACTGCAGTCATGGAGAATGAATGTTGCCTCAAAATCAGAATCTTGCCAGGCTTGGCGGCGCACGCCCGGAATCCCCGTGACTTAGGAGGCTGAGGGGGAAGGACTGCAAGCTCAAGGCCAGCTTCAGCAGCTTAGCAAGGCCCTAAACAATTTAGTAAGACCCCCGTCTCAGAAAAAAATAAAAAATCAAAAGGGCTGGGGATGTAGCTCAAAGTCCCTCTGGGCTCAATGCTAGCACCAAATAACAGCAACACCCACAAAAAAATATACATAAAATAAATAAAAGTCAGAATCTCTCTCCTATTCTGTGCATCCTTAGACAAGTCATCTGGCCTCTCTGAACCTCAGTTTCTTCCTCTATAAAATAGGGGGCAAAAAAGTGCAGACCTCATGAAGATTAAATGAAATCATTTATTCATACTGTTTGGCACAGACGCTGGTGAGAAGTAGGTGCTCCTTAAATGAGGGCATATTTTGTGATCATTTTTCTTGATCGGGTGCAAGGCTTTTCCTGGCCACAGTCACTTTTTTTTTTTTTTCCTTCAAAAATGCTCAGTCAGGTAGCTGGCATCCACGGAGAGGACTGGAATGTGTCAATTTGGTTTCCAAGTCACTCATTTTTTCTCTCTGAAACACCCACTGCCGTGCCTGTGAGGAATAACTTAACTTGTGCCCACACAGCCGGCTCCGGAGCTGAAAGTCTGCCTTGGTCTGACTCAGGATCTGGCTCAATTCAGCCCCACACCAGTCCTCGGTGTGCCCTGGGTCGACCAGTTGCCTCCAATCGGTTGTACAAATGCACACCCCCAAGTGTGTGTATGTGTGCGCGTGTGTGTGTGTGTGTGTGTGTGTGTGTGTGTGTTTATTCCTAGGTAGGACACACCTATTATCTAAGCATTGCTGACCACACTAATATATTGTGCCTGTTATAAACACAAGCCCCAAGCTGACTTATTGAAGGTTGGTACACAATATAAATACCCCACAGGAGAAAGTTGGGCTATTTTACCCTCATGGACTCTCAGCCTGTGAGCTGGTTCGCAGGTCCCTGCTGTCACGTTCCTGGGGCTGCCTGTCAATCACACACAGCTGGCTGAGTACATTTTGTGCTGTTCTAACAGAATATTTGAGACTGGCTAATTTTTTTTTTTATTTTTTAATTTTTTTTAAAGATGTTGATGGATCTTTTTAAAATTTCTTTTTATGTCGTGCTGAGATTCAAAGCCAGTGCCTCTGCCGCTGAGTCCCAGCCCCAGCCCCTGAGACTGGCTGATTTACAATAAGCAGAAGCTGCTGGCTCACAGTTCTCAGGCCGGAAAGTTCAATGTCAAGGTCTCACAGCTGCCTGCTGCACGGGCACAGGAGGAGCCGGAGAGAGTAGAGGGACGAGCACCTTCCCAATGCCATCACAGTGACCACCGCATTTCAGTGTGAGTTGAGAGGGGACAGACATTCAAATGGGAGCAATGTGCCCGTGCACATGAACATTCCGGGTATGGAGGAGCGGGGTCCACACAGGCTGCTGGAAAGCCTTCCGCACAGGGAGAACCTTTGATTTGAAAACTAAGGTGATGTCTGGAGGTTTGGGTGAGTCAGTTCACGTCTCCTCTCTGGACAGAAACCCACAAAACATTTATTCCTTGCTCAAACCCAAGTGTGGTCCTAGAGCTCTTGAGCAGTAGAAAATCCAGCCCCGCCCAGACTCGTGGAGTCAGAATCTGCATTTTGATTTGTGCCCAGGGGGTTGTGTGCATAATAGTTTCTGAAACATTGCTCTAGACAGGGGTAGGGAAACTTTTTAACAGCCAGACAGTAAATATTTTAGGCCTGGGGGGGCTATGTAGTCTCTCTCACGATTTTAACTCTGCCAGAAGCACAGGAATGGGCCTGGCTGTGTACCAATAAAACTTTATTTACAAAAACAGACAGGGGGCCGGACTCAGTCCATGGGCCATGGTTTGCCTTCCTCTAGGCCTCAATCTTGCTGGCCAGAAAGTAGACAATTTCTTCCTTTAACCAGGTGATCTTTACTGTCATTTGGGGATGGGAAGAGTCTTTTGTACCCAATCCATATTCTCTGGCTTCTTAAAATTGTAATTAACGAGAGGTACTATGTCCCTCCACACGCGCGCGCGCGCACACACACACACACACACACACACACACACACACACATACATTGTGTTTGTGGCAGTCTGAGGAATTCCGTGAAGATCTATCAAACGATTGATGGATCATCGCTGTCACCTATATAGCTCTACATCTATCAATCATCTCTGTCATCTCTCACCTCTTTCTGTCATCTGTATACCTCTATAGTTATCAATCATTTCCATCATTTATCATCTGTTTTTAGCCACTCTCATCTCCTTACCAATCATGTCCATCTACACCAACCATCTCTGTATCTATCTTAATTTCTTAGCCTTTAAAAAAATGTTTAAGAATCTACAGCCCCGTCCCTTCCCCGCCACTCTACAAGGTGTGATGCACACCAACTCGTCTCGTGGCTTTCAACTCAGATGTGCCCACGCTTGGACTCTAGACCTGCTGCTGTGTGACTGAGCACTGAGTATTTAATCCCTCTCAGCCTCTGTCTTCTCATCTGCGAAATGGGAACAAGGCCATACCTCCCTCACACAAGTGCTCAGCAAAACGCTTGGCCCCTGATAAATGCTCCGAATGTCAGGGACATTAGGTCACTCAGGAAAATCCTGGACAGGGAGGTGCAGAGCCGGGCAGCCACGTAACTACCTCCTGTGGTCTGGATGTGATTGGGGTGCCCCCAAGGGTCCCTATGTCGGGAGCTTGGCTCTCAGCGTGGCAGTATCGGGAGGTGGTGGCACCGTTAAGCCTCTTGGGCTCAGAACAATGGAGCCAGACCTCCATGAACTGAACCCCTGAAACCAGGAGCCAAAATACACCTCTCCTCCTCCAAACTGCTCTGGTGGGGTATTTTGATTCCAGCGACAAAAAGCTGACTGTCCCAAAAGGGATTAAGAGAGCTCTCCTGCACACCCTTCAGGTTAGGAGGCAGCAAGCCTTCCCGCCCCCTCTGTCTGCTTCCTGGTTTGAAGTGTGACCTCTCACGCCTCCGTACACTCTCGCATGATGTGACACCATCCGCTGCCCTCAGCAGAGGCCAAGCCAACAGGGTTACTGGATCTTGATCTTTGATCCTCAAAAACTGTGATAAACCTCTTTTCTTCATAAGTATCCTGCCTCAGGCATTTCGTTATAATGATGGAAATCTAACACAGTGCCCAAACGATAAGGGGCGGGGGGCCAACCTGCCCTTCGTTCTTCTTTCTAGATGTCAGTTTTCACCTTCTCATCATTCTGGCGTTATTTCTAAATAGTATTTTTGAACATTGAAAAAGGAGAGCTATCCCACTAGCAGTGGGAGAAAAGCAGACAGGAACAGAGGGCTTGCTGGGAGAGAAACCCCAGTGCCCGAATACAGCTGTCCCCGGTGCTCCGGGATCTGAACCCTCTGAGCGGGGCTGGGCAGGAGTCGGCGACTTCTGTCAGGTCCCAGGGTGTGGGACGGAATTCCTGAGGCGCCCTGGGCTGGGAGGAAGGAGGAGGCCCACGCCTTTTGATCCAGGAGACAGAGGACGAAAGGTGACTTTAGCTCTTCCCGGCCGCTCCCGCCCACCACTGCTGTTTTGAACTCAGGTCCCCGCACCTCAAAGAGGGTGTCTGAGTGACCCGCGACTCTCTCTTCCCACCTCCCACCTGAGGGGGAGGAGGATGCTAATTAAAGCTGGTGGGCAGCCCACCACAGAGCACCTCGGGCCCTGGTTTCTATGGAAACTCCGTCCCCTGTCCCCTGCCGACACTCTCTCATCTCCTGACAAACTCTATTCCCGGAGACGTGGCCCTGCTCTGTCCTAACACTGTTCCTTGCAGCCAACCAGCAAACGCAGCCAGAGGTGTGCCCAGTGACGAGGACCACCAGGTCCCCAGCAAACCTGCCCGTCAGTCCCGTGCGCTCGACGCCCTGCTTTCCAGCAGAGTCGCTGAATCCTAGGCGTTGGAGGGGACCTGGTTCCAGGTGGCCCCGCAGATACCCACATCTGCAGGTGCTCCAGTCCCTTCCACAGAATCTGCTGCCACCCTCCCTCACACCTGAAGCCATCTCTGGATGCCATGCAATCCTCCATACGAGGTCAACGCTCTGTGAATAGCCGTTAGGTGCCTTGTTTAGGGACCGAGGACAGATGGAAAGTCTGTGCGGGTGTCACACAGATGCAATTAAAACATTTTTTTTTTTTTTTGATCGCTGGTTGGTTGAATCAGAGGTTCCTAGTTTGCACGGGCTGCCTGGACACAGTGCCCCATTCTGGAGGCCGGAAGCCTGAGGTCCAGGTGTGGGCAAGGGTGGGTTCCTCCGAGGCCCAGTGAGAATTGGTTTCCTCTCCTCGGCAGGCACTTGGCCTGTCTCCCTGTCTTCACACCCTCTTCCCCGTGTGTCTGTGTCTGGATCCCGCCTTGCATGAGGACACCAGCCACAATGGCCCCCGCGGCCTCACTTCCACTCCATCAGCTTTGTAAGACCCTGTCCGTAACAGGGCCACGTCCTGAAGTCCTGGGGGTGAGGGTTCCAGTCCGTCTTTTGGGGGGGACGCGGTTCCAAACGCCCCAGGCTCTAGCCGGGGAGGCCTGGCTGGTCTTCAAGCCCCAGCACGGCTTGCTCCCGACTTACCCCAGTAAACCCCGGCTTCCCCGTGGGTGAAGCAGAGGACCAGGTCCCCGGGAAGCTGCAGTGTGGCGGGTCAAGGAGGTGGCACTTCCCACGGTGCCTCGTCAGTCCCCTTGTGATTGCTAGAGGGTAGCAGGTGCCCGTCTGCCCCTCTCCCAGTGTCCCTTGGCTCACCTGGGTGGGGCCTGCAGGGACCTGGGCCTTGAAGATCCAGGACGCCCGCCTCTCTCCAGGGACCCCCCCCCCAGGGCTCTATCTGCACCCAAGTCCCTCCCCTGGGATTGGCTTTTGAGGAATTCAGGACAAAGAGGAACCTGTTGGTAGGGGTTTGGGGTTTATGCAAGGGACGCAGGAAGGAGTGGTGGGCACAGGACTGGAACCAGGGTTTCTTTGGGCACCAGAGCCCCGGCCTCATTGACGAGCACCCCATCTCTTGTCCTGAACGCCACCGTACCCGTCCTTCCTGCAATACCCAATATGGCCAGGAGGGGGCGACACATCTCAGTCCACATGGCATTTACCTGGGTCAAGCTTTGGAGCGAAGAGTCACAGCGGCAGTGTGTGAGCCATGGGGAAATAGTCTGTATTCCTATTTGTCAGCATTGGGGTGACATGAAGTGTGCCATCTAATGTCCTCAAGCTTCCGTTTCAAAAGGCTGTGATAAGGATTAAATGGGATAGCACCTGTACCGGGTTAGCACACTGCGTGGCTCATGGACGGCCACCAATAAGTGGGAGATGTTAGTACAAAGGGTTAAATAGGCACACAAGCCTTTGTCATGGGGACGTCAGGAAGGAGCTGTTGATTCAGTCTTGGAAATAAGGGAGGGACAATTTAACCTGGGCCTTAAGAACAGCAGCTGTTGCCTAGCATGCATCAAGCCCTGGGCTTAATCCCCATGGCAACCATGATGCTCATATAAATGGGAAGAGTCGGTCCAGGGATGGAGTGAGAAAACAGAAGCCTGATGGCCTCACGTGATCTCCTGGATCCAGCTATGCCTGAAGCCAGAACTTCCCCTGTTGTTTCAACTACTTGGAATTAATTTCCTGACACTTGTCTTCTCTTTTGGCGGATTCTCCTCTCAGTCCTTGGATCAATACACTTTCATGTTTTAGCTGTTCTTCCTTCCAGGACCCCCACACTAAGGTTACCCACAAGGTCCAGCATGACTGGCTGTCGGATCCCACTATGGCAGGCTGTAGGCCAGCGCTCTACCACTGAGCCACCACCCCAGGCCCTCCATCCTTTATATCCCATGTTCATGAAGAAAAAAAAAATAACCACCAATACATGGCACAAATAAATAATCTTTAATTTCAATAAACAGCTCCTCACCACGCTAGACGGTACACTGCGGGGAAAGACACGAAGCATCCCACAGGGAGAGGGAGAGACCTGTGCTAGTTCTACACTAATTCCCCAGCCCCTGAGAGGGGCCTCGGTCCACACACGGACACACCAGCTCCTCCGAGTGTGGTTAAGGTGATGATCACGGAGGGGGTGTGTGGCCGCGTGACTCCACGGAAGTCCTCGGTGGGTCTTCATCGCCAGGATTCACGTCCTGGTGACTCGACACACACACATATCCCCGTCACCCGAGGGGGGGGGTCTTCGACAGACAGGGGACACAGGGACTGGGTGAAATCTCACAGGGCACGGGAGGTGGACAGAGGGCATGCTCAGGGCGGGGGTCCTGGCCGGTACCTGCTCTCCAGGACACGTAGGCACAGAAGTGTTCAGCGGAGGGGCACATGCACACAGACGGACACGCACAGGCCCCCGGGGAGTCAGTCCCCTGGGGTAAGCTGACACAAGGACAGGTTCGGTTCAGCCAGGAGAGGGCTCTCACGCTTGGGATAGCTCTGCGTGTGTGTGGCTATTTGGTTTCTCCAAATAGTCTAATCTCTATGTGACAGTCACTAAGGAGGAGACGACGATACTTACACCTTTGGAGAGAGGTACTGGGTTTGGAGAGCCCCAGGGAACAGCCGCCCGCCCAGGGGTGGGTTTCAGGACGGGGGGATCAGGGCTCCCACCTGCTGGCCAAACTCTCGCTCAACTTAGTCTTGGAGATTGGCTCACTCGGGAGGCCCTTTCTCCCCTCGGGGTACAAAGTGCATTTGGGGACAAGGGTATCAACAGGAGCAGCGCTGGCATTAAGTCCCACGGCCCACTCAGCGCTCGAGATGTCACGGGGGCTTCTAGAAAGTTCTCAGGCCTCCCTCAGGGAGGGCGGCCGTTGTGTGGTCGATAGTCTGCTTCCTCTGGGTTCTGAGAGGTCGTAGGTGAGCGTGTGTGCGTGTGCGTGTGTGTGTGTGTCTGCGCGGAAGGGTGTGTGCGGGTGTGGATGGAAATAGGGAGGTGACACATTTTTCTGTCTTTTTTTTCTTTTTTTTAAAGCAATTGAAAGCTGTCGCCCCTGCGGCCCTCAGGTCACCTCCAGGGAGGCAGGGGACACGCGGTCACACTCCGCCCGCGACCTCAGGCTGTGCCACTGCTCCACGGCCGTGCGGTGGGTGTTGAGCATCCGTCGCCAGTGGTTGGCCTCGGAGGGTCCCGAGGAGTACTGGCCGATGACAATCCTCCCGATGAAGTCGTTGCTGCTCTTCATGTTGTGGCCGAACACTAGGGCACAGGGGGGGAGAGAAGGGGGGCCGGGACAGAGAGCGGGGACAAGACAGAGACCGTTAGCGGACACACTGCGCCTCTGCGTATGGGCTCGCTGCTCCGGGGACGGGGTCCGTTTCTTTCATGGAGCGAGTTCCCCGATTCCCTCCCCTCCTCTTCCTGTGAGTCTCTCTGCAAAAGCCACACGGGGTCTCCTGCTGTCCCTGACCACGCAGGCCCTGCTCCCACCGCCCAGTCTTTCCCCGGCTCCCCTTTCAGCCAGGTAGCACCAATACCTGTCACTATGCACTTAGGGTCCCCTGCCTCGCCAGGCTGCCTCAAGAGCAGTGGATGGTTCTAGAAGCTGTTCTGGCGAGCTGCTGCAGTCCAGTTGAGTGGGCACCCCCGAGCTGCTCAGTGGTGGCCCTGTTGGCACTGCGGGCTGGATTACCTTTTGCTGTGCCTTGTAAGAAACATAGCAGCATCTCTGGGCTCTAGCGAGTAGATGTTAAGAGCAGCCCTCACCTCAAGCTGGGACCACCCCCAAAATCTCCCAAAGGTGGGGAGACATTCATCCCCATGAGAACCACCAGGGTTAAGCTCTGGGGTGAAACTCAGCTCTGTCCTTTGACAGAGCCCTGTGACTCTGAGGCGAGGAAGGTCATCTCTCTGAACCTCAGATTCTTCTTTGGTGCAAGAGGATTCTTAGTAGGACGTCGTCTCACAGGTCGAGGTGAGGTTTCAAGGAAATCGTGTGTGGAAAGCTCCCAACTCCCATCACCGAGTCCCTAGCAAGTAAGTGGTTTCACAGCAAGTGCTCAGTAACGCCTGCACCGCCACTGGGCCCCAAACTTCTGTCCCAGGAATAAGGCTATGTGCTGAGGGAAGCGGCCGGGGCACCTTCTGCCACCTCGGCCAGGCCCGTCTCCTTGGAAGGCTTCTTTGTAAATTCCCAGCACAAGCTTCATTTATGTCTCTTAAGCCCTAATGAGATGGTTCGCTTGATTTATCTTCCCGGCCAAGTTCTGTCTAATTCTTTCCGTGCATGTGGGTAGCCGGAGCATAGCAGCCCGCTAATGGGGGAGCAGGCTGTGTGCTTATAAATGAAGGGCCGCAGAGGGGGAGAGATCACACAGTCACCCAGCGTGAGCCCAGCCAAGGCAGGCGGGATCCCAGGAGGGAGGCCGATTATCAGATAAAACAGCTAAAATATGCAGCCCCAGACAGAGCTTGAACACTAACGAGCCGGTTCTCCCCCGTGGGGCTCATGCCAAGCATTTCAAATGATAAAAATGGGGGGGAAAAAAAGGAGTGGAAAATAAAGACGAGACCTCCTGCCCCCATCCATATCTAATAACCAAGAAGACCTCATGACCTAGGATCAGTCAAAAGCCACGTCCCTCCAGGGGTCCTGTGCCCTGTCAGCTCTGTGGGGGAAAAATGGGCCACGTATATTTTTTGTACATTTGGTAATGTGCCCAGTACACACAGGTGGACTTCATTTACATGAAAATCCCTTACAAAAGCAGGGAAATGTCAGGAATAGAATCTTTGTTTAATAAAGGATCAAGACTCTTTGATACACTTGAAAAACAATTTTTAAAAACAGCACTCAGGACTCTCTGAACCGTGCTTAGTGGGGGATACAGGTTGGAGGTCACCAAACAAGAATGAATTCCAGAGTCCCCTTCCCTGAGGGCATCAGATCTAACAGGATGCAATTATGAGACTGTTTTAGGCTCCATTTGTTTTTTTTTCTTCCAGGGCAAAACATGCTCTCCTTCTCTGCCTCTCCAAAGCTTGAGGATATCAATGAATAACATACCTAGTAAATGGGTATGGGTTTTAGATCTTTGGAAGAGTTTTTTTATTTTATTTTATTTTTTTATTTTTTATAATTCAGGGGTACTCAGCCACTGAGCCCCATCCCCAGCCCTATTCTGTATTTTATTTAGAGACAGAGTCTCACTGAGTTGCTTAGCACCTTGCTGTTGCTGAGGCTGGCTTTGAACTCGCCATCCTCCTGCCTCAGCCTCCCAAGCTGCTGGGATGACAGGCATGCACTACCACATCTGGCAGGAAAGGGGTTTTAAGAAAGGAAATCTTAAGGACTCTCATGTGCTCTTGCTCGAAGAGCAAGTTGGTTCGACTTTTGGGGTATCTGTTCAAAATAAAAGCATCCTAACTTGAGTCCCAACACATTCCCTTAGTAGAGGACTGTTATCCCACAGGATTTTCTGCACAAATGCACATACAAGTATATTTTACACAGACAGGTTTGGCAGAGTCGAGTCTCCAAGCTGGATCCAGCCCACCACCTGTTTTTGTAAATAAAGTTTTATTGGAACACTGCCAAACCCATTTGCTCGTGTATTATTATTATTATTTTTTTAACGTAATGTCTCTTTTCGGCTTCAGAGCGGGAATGATGTCATTCTGTTCAGGGTGCTGTCACAAAATGCCAAAAACTGAGTGGCTTATAGACAACAGAAAACTTATTTCTCCCCCATGGCTCGGGAGGCTGAGGCAGGAGGATGGTGAGTTCAAAGCCAGCCTCAGCAACTTAGCCAGGGCCTAGGCAACTGAGAGGCAGAGCACTTGCCTAGTGTGTGTGAGCCCTGGGTTCCATTCTCAGCACCTCAGATAAATAAGTGAATAAAATAAAGGTCCATCAACAACTAAAAAAAAAAATTTTTTAAAAAGGGAGGGTGATTGGGGATGTGGCTCTTTACCAGTGTAAAGCACCCCTGGATTCAATCCTTGGCACCAAAAAAAAAAAATAATAATAATAATAAAGGAAGCAAGAGAAGAAGAAAAAAAGAATGTATTTCTTATAGTTCCGGAGGCTGAGAAGATCAAGGAGCTGGCGAATCTGGACTCTGGGGAGGGCCCTTTTCCTCATGGATGGTGTCTTCCCACCACTTTCCAATATGGTAGAAGGACAAGCCAGCTCCCTGGGGTCTTTTGTAAGGACACGGGTTCCTTTTGGGAGCGTGGATCTCAGGACCTAATGGCCAGCCGCAGGCCTGGCTCGTGACACCACACTGGGGACTGCACTCCAACAGGAACTGGACTCACGTCTGAATTCCGTCTGAATCCTTTTGCTATGCTCAACTGTCACCGTGAACACGATGGCTTTGCTCGGTTCTGTGAGTCCCTCTCGTGAAGACTGGACCAGAGGGTGGTTTGGAAGACCTTGCAGACCGTAGACCCCTCGCTCATCAACTGTCCCCCACTGGTTTGCCCCCTTTCTTTTTTCTGTGGGGTGTGAGGGTGCCAGGAACTGAGCCCAGGGGCTCTTAACCACTGAGCCACATCCACAGCCCTTTTTATTTTATTATATTTGGGGACAGGGTCTCACTAAGTTGCTTCTAAGTAGCTGAGGTTGGCTTTGAACTCACAATCCTTCCTTTTTTTTTTAAAAAAAATAGATTTTATTTATTTATTTATTCAATCACTTTTTTTGGGGGTTATATGCCGTGCTGAGATTCGAACCCAGTGCCTCACACATGCTAGGCAAGTATTAGACCCCTGAGCCACAACCCCAACCCTCACAATCCTTTCTTATCTCATCTCCCTACTCCCTTAGAGCTACTTCCCGTGGTCAAGTGATCATCGGAGAATCCACTTTGGGAGGTGTCTACACTGACCCTGAGGAGCGCAAAGAATCTCGTGTAATAATAGCATGAAAATCCACATTACTGTTAAAAAGGAGACATACCCAAGTACATGAGATGGAAAAGTCTCTAAGATGTTGCTGGGAGACAAAAGTGGGTTGCAAAACTGTACATATAAATACAACCTCTTTTCGTTAAAGCAGAGCTTTACATGTGAAGAAAACTCTGTATGAAGAGTGTCAGTTCACCCAGCGGTGGAGAGCAACTTTCTCTAGAGCGAAATCGCTACGATTTCTGTATTACATAAGTATGTACAGTTTGAACTTCTTATCACCAGTTCATATTCTGGAAAGAAAACAAAGAAAAAAAAAATAAGTGGCTCTTAGAGAATTCACATCTAAATCGCCAGAAGGGAAGAAAACGAAAAGGAAGTCTAATAGCCTACGCGTCTTATCCCAATTTGCAAAGTCACTTGGCTGGTGAATCACTTGGCTCTGGGGAGGCGAGGTGGGCGCGCTGGAGGGACGCAGTGCGGTCCCGGCCATCTGAGTTGACTGGCAGGCGTCAGCCTTTGCAGATCACTTGGTAGAGTGAGGGCACCCGGAACATTTTTGAAAAAAAAAAAAAAGAGTTCAAAATTTAAAATGCAAATTTATAAGCTGAAGCTGATGTAGAACTAATGACTTCTATAATAAAAGTCTCTTGGGAGAATACCCAGATTCGCCGTCCCTGGCTGGAGTGTGTTGCTGGAGAGAACAGAGTATTAAGATTTGACATCTAGAATCCAAAACAGGGAAGAGAGACAACGAGACAGAGACCCCTGCCCCTTCCATTAATGGCTAAGGAAACCGAGTCAACGGCTAGCAGCGTTTGAAGCAACCAACATGAGAGAGAAGCCAATTCCTTATAACTAGGTCCCTAAATTTCCTCTCTTTAGAAATATTCAGAATGACAGTTTTTGTTCTAAGCACCTCCCTACCCCATTTCTCCTACTCAGTGTTACGGGGCCACATTGGAATGTAGACATGAATGTATTACTGGATAATGGATTGACTCCAAGCGCACCCTGGTCATCAGAAACCCATTTCCCAACAGCCTGAACAACCCAGATTATGGCAGAAAAATAAAAAAAAAAAAAAAACTAACAATCTTCCACCCCAAATATCCAATAGAACAGATGACATACAGCCAGTACACAAAATTCATGAAGAGGAATTCTCAGTCTTTCTCTAAGAACCTATTTACCGTATTTTACAGCAGAATCATTGCAGATTTGAAATGAGTTTTTAACTTAAGAGTTAATGACGGATCTGTCTACTTCTGTGGTGCCCATCGCCATAGCCACCCAGGCCAGGGAACCACTGGGTCCCAAGGGCAGGATCTGGAGGAGCCCGAGAAGCA